AAACCTAACAGCATTGGAACTGAGTGCAAGACATTCCCTCCGAAAGTGAAGGGAACTTGCTGGCACTGTGTTATTGTGGCGATGTAAGGCACACCGAGGGGGGCACATGCCCTATGCACACACAGCTAAAGGTGGACTGCCGTAGATAAAGTAGCCTTGAAAAAGAAGTTACTCATTGTTCTTTCATACAATACATCCTGGCAGTAGCCTCCCCTCCCCCCACCTCTCTCAGTTCCTTCCCCACCTCCCCTCTCACCCTATTACACACTCTGTTTCTCTGCAGAAAATAACAAGCAACCCCAGAATAGCAGGAGAAAGTTGCAATAAAGCTAGGCATAAACTCTCGTATCCAGGCTGGACCAGACAATAGAGCAGTAGCAGGAGGGTCCCAAAAGCAGGCAAAAGCATCAGAGATACCCCAACTCCCATTGTTAGGAGTCCCACAAAAACACCAAACTAAACAACCATGGCATGAATGCAAGCCTAGGACAGACCCATGCAGGTCTCATGAACCCTCCTTGGTTGATTGTGTGGGCCTTGTTCTTCTAGCATCCTTGATCCCTAAGGCTCCCACAACCCTTCCTCCTTCTCTTCTGAGGCATTCCCTGAGCTCCACCTAATGTTTGGCTTTAGGTCTCTGCATCTGCTTCCATCAGCTGCCAGGTGAAGCCTCTCTGATGGTGATTGGTCTAGGCACCGCTCTATATCAGAATAGCATTAGAAATCATTTCATTAACTTTTGTCATTAGTGTTTGGTTATCATTAGGTCTCCGAGCCAACCAGCGTCCAGTTCCTGGCCGTCCAGACTGTGTCAGGCATGGGCTCCCTCTCCTGGTGTGGGCCTCAATTAAACCAGCCATTGACTGACCACTCCCACAAGTTCTGAGCCACTATTGCCCCTGCTTATCTTGCAGGCAGGACAGGTGTGCATCAACGGTTTTGAGGCTGGATTGGTGTCACAGCCCCACCGCTGGGGGTCTTGCTGATTACGGATGATGAATGGTTTGGGCTCCATCTACTTCTTCGCTGGGGTCACTGTCACAGGTTTCAGGAAGTTTCCACTGCATTAGGTTGCCATATCATCCCCTCCCACTCCGCAATGCCACTCATTCGGGTCTTCTCTCCCTGAATTGTCTCTCCCACTTCCCCCCTCACCTGATCTCTCTTCTTTTCATACCCACCCTCCCCAAGTCTACCCATGATATTATATTTCCCCTTCCCAGAGAGATCTATGAGCTGTGCCCGCCCCCTGTGAGTCTTCCTCATTACCTATCTGGGTTGGTGAATTGTAGTGTGGTTATCCTTTAGCTAACAGCTAATATCCTCTTATGAATGAGTACACAACATGTTTGTATTTCTGGGTCTGGCTGCCTTGCTCAGATTTTTTTTCAAGTTCCATCCATTTGTCTATAAATTATGTGATGTAATTTTTTTAACATCTAAGTAATACTCCATTGTGTAAATATATCACATTTTCCTTATCAGTTCTTCAGGTGAAGGACATCTAGGTGGTTTCAAGTTTCTGGCTATTATAAATAGAACTTCTGAGAACATAGTTGAGCTTCTTGTGGTAGGATGGAGCCTCTTTGGGTATATGCTCAGGGGTGTTATAACTCGGGCTTGGGGTAGATCAATTCTCAGTTTTCTGAGAAACCACCATGTTGATTTGCAAAGTGGCTGTACCAGTTTGCACTCCACCAGCAATGGAGGAGTGTTCTCCTTGCTCCACACCCTTGCCAGCACAAACTCTCACTTGTGTTTTTGATCTTGGCCTTTCCGACAGGAATAAGATGGAATCTCAGAGTTGTTTTGATTTGCATTTCCCTGATGGCTAAGGATGTGGAACATTTTCCTTCAGTGTTTCTCATTCATTTCAGATTTCTCTGTTGAGAATTCTCTGTTTAGATCTGTACTCCATTTTTCAATTGGATTATTTGCTTTGTCGATTTCTAGTTAATTGAGCTCTTTACATATTTTGGGTATTAGCCCTCTGTCAGACGCTGACTTAGTCAAAAATCTTTTCGCATTCTGTAGGCTGCTACTTTTGTCCAATGTATGGTGTCCTTTGCGTTACAGAAGCTTTTCAGTTTGAATAAATGAAGTCTCATCTATTGTCAATCTTAGAGTCTGCACTATCAGTGTTATTTAAGAAGTTTTAAATTTAAGAAGTCCTGTGCCAATGCATTCAAAGCTACCCCCCCCCCCTTTTCTTCTATCAGATTCAGTGTATCTGGTTTTATGTTGAGGTCTTTGATCCACAAGGACTTAAGTTTTATGCATGGTGGCAGGTATGGAGCTATTCACATTCTTCTACAAGCAGACATTCAGTCACACCAGCACCATTTGTTGAAGATGCTTTCTTTTTTTCCATTGTGTGTTTCTAAATTCTTTATCAAAAATCACTTGTCCATGGGCATGTGGATTTATCTGTCTTCAGTTCGATTCAGCTGATCACTGTGTCTGTTTTCATGCCAATACTATGCAGTTTTATTATAGCTCTGTAATAGAGCTTGCAACCAGGGATGGTAATACCTTCAGAAGTTCTTTTATTGTACAGGATTGTTTTAGCTATCCTGGTTTTTTTTTTTTTCATATGAAGTTGACTATTTTTCTTTCAAGGTTTGTAAAGAATTGTGTTGGGCAAAAAAAAATGTGTTGGAATTTTGATGGGAATTGTGTTGAATTTGTAGCTGGCTTTCAGTAGATGGCCATTTTTACTATATAGATTCTACCTGTGCTTGAGCACGGGAGATCTTCCTATCTCACAATATCTTCTACAATTTCTTTCTGCAAAGACTTGAAGCTCTTGTCATGCAAGCCTTTCACTTGCTTGCTAAGGGTTACTTGAGAAAGGGATTCCATAGACAGCACAGGTTATAATCTATTTATTGTATATGTTTTATATTATTTTCTACCCACATATCTGTAAGCTTCAAGAGAGAAGTCAGTTTTTGTCAGTAATTAGCTTGCAATGTGGGCAGGATGCTCATGTCTGAAAACCCTCCTTTGTGCCCATGGAGAATGTGTGCTCCTCCACCAAGACTCAGCCAGCTTCCCCCACATGGGATGAGCCGGTCGTCTCTGTGGCTCTCCAGTTGCACTGATGCTGGAGTGCCTGTCCAGAAAGATCCTTCCCCTGTAGCTTTGGGTTAGAAGTGGGGTGATCACTGTCCATTAGCTTGTTCTTAAAGTTTTGATCCACATATTATCTTTAAATAGGTTTGTATATTTATATGTACTTTTTAAATATTTATTTATTTATTATGTTTACAATATTCCATCTGCGTGTATGCCTGCAGGCCAGAAGAGGGCACCAGACCCCATCACAGATGGTTGTGAGCCACCATGTGGTTGCTGGGAATTGAACTCAGGACCTTTGGAAGAGCAGGCAATGCTCTTAACTTCTGAGCCATCTCTCCAGCCCCTTATATGTACTTTTTAAAATGAAAATGTTTTCTTAAATTTGATTTTTCTTTCTCAAACGCTGATGAATATGGTTAGCGGCAAATCTTGACCATGACTCATCTTAGTTGTTTTTATCTTTTGTAGATGAAGCCTAAACACATCCTCAGTGTCTTTATTTTGAACATTCTTGGTCATTCCTAAGAAATTATTTTTCTTTCCTTTCTTTCTCCCCTCCCCCCCTTTTTTTTAAAAAAAGACTACTCGTGGAGTCTTTTAGAACTTGAATCTTAGATAATATTAATGAGTGCCTAGTATTTTTATTCTTCATTTTCTAAAAGATGTGTTAAAATCCTCCTATTGTTCTTCCTCTTTAGCCTGTAAAATAGCATGCCTAGCCAGCCTGCTTGTCTCCATAACTGCCGCATATCATGCATGCTAAGGTTTCTCATGACAGTGACCTGTTATAGAATGTCTTCAAGTAGACATCATGAAGTGAAAACTCCCTATCTATCTACGCATTGTTCTATCTGCTAGCGCGAGTTGCAGCCTGTATATTGTATTCCTAGTGGTGCCAAAAGCATCACGCGGTATTTATGTGCCGTCTGACATAGTTCTGTATGTATGGGGTAAAGAGTGGACGGATCTGAAGCATGGCAGGTTTGCTGTTTGTGCACCCTTTCTTGTTATCACTGCTGTTTCACTCTCTTCATTAATTCTGTCAGGAGGTCTTCCTCGTCGTGGTTCATTTTTGGAGCTGGATCTCACAGACCCTAGTGCTATAATTACCCATCACCACATTTTTAGCCTACAGGGTTCAGACTCAACCTTCACCATCCCAGCATCTCGAATCCCCCTGATCCAACTTCCCAAGACAATCCAACAGCCTGACGTATTTGGGTTCCTGCTGCAATTTGTTCTTTTGACTGAATTAAAAATCATTGTAAAAGTTAGCCTTAAAACACTCTCAACGTGTTACTAAATTAAGGTTAACATTCAAGGATAATTTTCAAGCAATTAGCTTTGGTTTTTAGCTGAGCAGAGCACCCCACTTTATGATGCCAAACACAAACGATTTATACATGACCATAGTTAGACCAATGTAGGTCTGTAGCGGTGATTTGCTAATCAAATTCAGGATTTGATTTGAAATGCCTCCGGCAGAGGGCCAATCCAGTCATGAAAAAAACAGAAGCAAAACCCAGAGCCCGGATGAGCCTCCTCGAGAAGGTAGCTGAATCTTTCACTGTCCCTAGCAAAAAGGTTCCAGAAGTCACTGCTATTGCTCCTAAATTTTTCCCAATAAATTATTCGACTGTCCAAGACACAAAACATGTACATTTTGGAATCTAGAGTTATAAAATATTCTGACATGTTTTAATATAAACAGGAACATTTTCAATGATTGCTTGGATCTAAAATGTTTTTCCACTTGACATTTGTTTATACTGCCGAGGAAAGAAACTCTATTTATGGATAACTGAATGGCACAAATAAACACGGAGAGAGCTGAACAATCAGCTTTGATTGTGCATGAAGGTCTGCGATGCCATTGTGTACTCTTGGGCCGTATTCTGATTGCCTGTTTATTTTTACAGAACTGCTGGTGAGCCCATGGAGGAGGAACCAGCCCTGTGAAGTGCCAAGTCTCCCCCGATATTTCCTGTGTGTGACATCATTGTGTATCCCCACCCCCCAGCCCCAGCACCCTCAGCCATGTCTGCTGCTTGGGTGGCACAGTTTGATGGAACGTAAACACTGGGCATCAGGTTCTGAACAGCAGCTTCACTTGTTCTTTGGATGGACTTGAAAGGGCAATGCAGATTCCTGAAACTTAACCACTGTGAGTCTAAAGTTACAGTAACCAGGATTGGAAGAAACTGCTCCCCGCGTGCGTTTATGCTTGAGACCCTGCTCCCAGACACGGTGTGAGCTAGAAACCTTCAGTGCAGCACTAAATACTGTCCGTTTCAGAAGCTAGGACGGCCATCTTCATTCCTGACATCGTCATCAGTGTTTTATTGTGTAGTTTACTGTCGAGTAGACTTAAATTGTTTCTTTTCAGCTATGATGGGAATTACAGACAGATTGCTGTGGGCTGCAGGGATTTTCTTCTTTTGTTTTGGATTTTTTTTTTTTTCTGTGTTCTAACACACTTCCATCCTTCCTGGTAAGAGTTCAAGATGGAGCTGGGATGAGGCTTTGTTCTAGTGGGGAAAAAAATCACAATGTATTTGGCAGTCCAAATGGAACTTGCACACCGTGCCTACCATGTGCCATAGGACAGTATTTTGTGTCCTATTTTGTCTGTTTCAAGTTCTCACAGATTATGGATTTGTAGTTTTGTCCAGTACTGAGGTCTCTTCCACCACATGCAACTCCATTTAAAGGACCACGCCTGTGGGGTGCATCTCTGGGCAGATGTGCGGTCTGTGAAAAGCACAGACCTCAGGCGCCGTGGTTTGCGCCCCATCTTTCCAGCACACCTCTCCCTTTCTCCGTCCGCTGCTTCCTCCTTTAGAGAAAACACCCACAGCCTCCGCATCCTCAGGGGAGCTTAGCGTTTGGTTTCTACCATTTACCTTTCAGGCTAACCCACTTTGTTATCTGATTCTGCACACTGTTCAAGCGATGCCACTGAGTGTTCCGGGTCTTAGGGATGCATTAATGAGGATGGCAATGATCTGAAGTCCCTGTGGATGGGGCTAAGATGGGAGCTGTGCCTTCCATGGAAACAAACCCAGAACTCCACCATTGCACAGCCTGCCTTTCTAGCAAAGGTTCAAAATAAAGGACATTTATTTCTGAGATTAAAAACAGCTTACTAAGTAGAATAGAATCAAGTTAGTCACTGCCTCTGAAAAATGCATTTCAGTGCATAACTCAAACACCTAAGACACTGAGGTAGAATAGCTCACATATTTAATATCTGACAATGCTTTTGAACATTGATGTTTCTTTTTATATATTTTCCTAACTCAAAGGATATATTAAAGCCATAAGTGAAGATTGTCATGCTTTTATTCAGAAATCTGAAAGAAACCTTAATTAAAACAAGGTTTTAGGGAAGGCCAAGATCTGAAAGACATGGAACAATGTGGTTTCAGTTAGGGAGGACTCCAACCTGTAAATCAAAGATGAAAGATCTCACTCACGTAGAATTACATAACTCTCCTTTGTTATACACTCAGGCCACATTTTCATGCATTTGGTTTTTTTAGGATTACCATTTTAATTTTAAAGACTTTTATTACATATACAAAATGGCTCGGTACTTGGTTTAACATCTTAGAAATTTGAGATACCCTTTGAAATAGGAAATCTGAAATGGAATGTAACTCAGTATTAGGTAAAAATGACTTTCATTGCATAAGGGTTAAGTCAATCTAGACTCATGATTATAATAAATGTTTTCTAAATTCCATTTTCTTGATGTTTTAGAGAAATTCCTGCCAATTATATTTGCTAACTCCTTTTTTAACTTTCTTTTCTTTTCCTTTTTTTTTTCCCCCTTGGTAATTGAGAAAATTTATTTAAAGAAAAACAAAGGCTTAAAGGCTTACAAAGAAGACCTTACTTTAAAAGAGGGAAAGTTATCATACTTCAAAAAGCTCTGTAATTGTGAACCTTTTAAACCAACTTCAGAGTTACACGTCCCCTTCACTGCGAATCAATACTAGATGCTGGGTAATGAGACAAAACAAGGCAGCGTAAGTTTATTAATTCACTGATATCCCTGCCACCGCATGGCCTCGGAAGGTGGCTTCTCAGTCTGAGGAAGCCAACCCCCTAGGACATGCCAACTCACTAGGACCTCTCTGTGGTAGTTTAGATTTTTAAAATACTTAATAAAGAGCTAATCACACTCTTCCTCCCCGCTGTGTAACAACACACCTAATTCATTGCAATGCAAATTATTAGGATCCCGAGAGCAGACACACCCTGTTGGGGAAGGATACAGTTGAAGGTAGCATTGTGGGCTGAGAGGTTCTACACCTGATTGCACGCACCCTTGCATTACACTATGGAGTGTGGCCCCAGAGGGCGGAGAGCACCAGCGTTTCTTCAGAAGCTGACCAAACTTTCAGTCCAACTGGTATATTTTTCTTCCCTACACTTTAGTTTTTATTGTTCCCAGTGGTCCCCAGTGAAAGGCTAATGGAGAAACATTACGGCTCCTGGGGCTCGTTCTGACCCCCCTTTGAAAGACGACCCCATGAGTTCCCTCACAGTCTAGCACAACACACACGTGTTGAAATAAAATAATTTTCGAGAAATACACGAGTAAAAAAGAGTAAGTTTAAATAATAGAAACAAAGTGAGATATAATCAGTTTTGTTTTCTATATAATTGGACGTTTTATTTTTGACTGCATTAAGCAACCCTAGTAAGGACTGAGCAGGTATAAATATCAATGAAAATTTAGACTAGCAAATGGGGAAATATTGGAAGGGGAACATTTTTAAATATTTTATCTAATTTGTAATATCCAGACAGGAGAGAGAACTCGGATTTTGGAGATAGTAGATATATTTGTTTAAAAACTCCCACAAGTGACATTTCCATGCACACGCAGTCCTAGGAACAGAAACGGTGCCTTCCGTGTGCACTACGACCCACTAGGGACAGTTTCATTCATCCAACTAAAAACACAGTGGCCTTGAAAATGGGGCATTTCCTCCCTCGAAGATTTCAAAAACTGTGGGACTAGTTTCTCCAATAGGTCAGACCTGTTTTATTGCTAGAGGTCAATCGTGAAGCTCTGTGAATGTACTGATATCTTTACAGACTCCACACAGGAGCGCATGAGAATGGTCCTGAGGGTTGGCTGGAGGAGACTTCCTCCCCGCTCAGCACTTTTAAACTCGCTTTATTTGATTCTGGAACTTTGCGATTAAGTTTTTTTTTTTTAATATTTCTCTCAAAATTTTTTGTCTATGAGTTTCGGTGGAAGCAAGTGTTAAAACTGAGCAGCCTGGAAAGAAGCCAAAAGTTTGTCTCCTAAGCAATGATTCATTCTGAGCTTGAACTTGCTGCTCCGTCTAAGTGTGACATTGTCTTTCCTAGTCTTATCTGTCCCAATATTCTCCTCCTGCTTTTGGAAATCACATGCTTGCTGAGATACACACACGTGCACACACACGCACATGCACACACTGCACACACACACACACACACACACACACACACACAGAATGCAAATGGCACACTTGTAGCCCTACTTCAATAAAGATGACATTTTTACCTCCAAAAGAAACAAAAGGCAAATTATCTGAGGTGGAGAAGAAAGGCTTTCCGTTATCTCAAGGACGGCCAGTGCTGTGGTCACGCTCACCATCAGCTCTCTGTGTTCATGTTATAAATACCCAAGACTATAGAATTTCCGTTCTCCAGACCAGTCACACAGCACATATACGTTCTATCTCTAGCATTCCTACCTGGGATCATGATATATCTACAGGAATGAGTGTGTCCATTGTTAGTAAGTACGTTGGAAGTAACGCCATCAGACAAATCTTAGACCATAAATCTGAGGCTAGCTGGACTGTATCTCAATGATAAGGTATTAGAGTGGTAATCACTTATCAACCGTCTTAAGTCTCAAACTAGAAAAGCTAGCAAATATATAATATGCTATACGGTGCCAATATTTCTAACCAGTGACTTCCTTTCCTCAAACTCTGTTTCCCTTGCTTCCTTGCCAATGGCAAATTGGCATATCTACACAATCAGAGTTTCTGATTTCTGCCTACCTTATGTTTCCTAAGAAGAAACAACCCTGCAAATTTGTCTTCTGAGACCCCACTTGGCATATGGGTCTCCAGGCATTTTATCTAAACCTAGCCTTATAGTCTTGATTGTGTTATTTACTTATACCTTATCAAAAGATACCTGGCTTAGCTAGCTTTATCTAAAAGCATACCAAGCTTTGATTTATTCTGTACTTGGGGCTTGCCACTTCCTTTTATTAATGCAGAATTTTATTTTTGGTCAATTATCGTCCACCATTTTTGCTACTATCCAGTTGAGTAATATTGGTTATCAAACAGGGAAGGTTTTTCACACTCCCCATGCTCTTTGGAAGACACTTATGTGAGGCAAACCATCAAGTGCACATGACCACCTGAAGTAAGAATAGCAAAGGAGAAACCGGAAGACTATATATTTTGGAAATAAAAATATCTGACTCATGAAATAGAAAATGGACTCCTTTAATTTTCTTGTTTGGTCCTTCTGCACATACGGGCACAAACAATGCCACGTGTATGTGGTCAGTTGTCTCCAGGGATACCGTGGTCAGGTCCCTGGCCCTCTCAGGGACATGGCATTTGTAACAATGACAAAACTGTCACAGGAGTGTCTGGATTGAGCTCTTTGTTGGTTAACATTTAGTAGAAATGGAATAATAAAAACCACAAAAGAACGAAATTTTTGTAATCTGAAGAGGAGTGTTACTTCTGTGTGTGCAAAGGCTATTTTTAGAATGGAAAAAGCTCCTTCTCTCTTGCTAAACTGTAAGATTCTCAGACTCTCTTTGGGTGGCTCTGCCAGTGTAGACCTTCACAGAAGCTGGGTGAGATGACATTGTCCTTTGAGGGATGGCTGGGCCCAGCGAGTGTGCTGTCGCCTTTCATTGGCAACCCGTGTCATTCGAGACAAACAACCTGATGCTGTAAATCAGCTGGAAGTCCAGGCAAACAAATTCGTCACTGTTTTGGTTAAATGCTAGACCACGATTATTGGAGCGAGTGCAGATAATGGGGACTTTCTGGTTTGTGTCATGTGAATGTGTCTTTTGTATTGTGGTCTTGTATCTGTTACTGTGATAAGATCAGTTGCTTGTCCTCTGTGACCAAGTAGTTTTGCCCTTAATTTTTCGGCTTTCATCAAAAGCTGTCATCCGGAACTGCTAAGAAAAGTATACATAGTCAAACATGAAGTTGTTCTGCCAGTGATGCATCCCCACGTGTGCAAGATAATTCCCTAATAAAGGTTCAGTAGCTAATTACGGCACCATTGTTGAACATGCTTTTAGAGTGTTCCTGCTCCCTAGTCTTTTGGATTTTAAAACACAATATTATTCTCCAAAGGATTGTTGATGTTGTTAGTGTCAACACTCCTTAAAAAGAATAATGATGCCCATTTTGTCTTGTGTTTTTTACTGATTAGATTTTCCTGTAGTCCTATGTGAATAAAAGCTATTTGAAATAAATGTGTCCTAAAGTTTCTACATCCTAGGTGCCTGCCCTTAGACTCGGCATCACAGATGAGCACAAATACATGACATTTTGTGATAAACAACTATTACTAATTGTGAGATATGATGATATACACTATTCTACTTTTCAGAACTCTGGAAATTTGAGGCCAGAGATATGACTTGGTAGTTAAGAGCGCTGGCTGCTCCTGCAGAGGAACCAGGTTCATTTCCCAGGACCCACATAGCAACTCACAACTATCTGTAGCTCAAGTTCCAGGGGATCAGATACTCTCTTCTTGCCTTTACAGGCCCCTGGCACAAACATGGTATATATATATATATATATATATATATATATATATATATATATATATATCATACATGCAGGTAATACACTCACAAATATAAAATGAAAATTAATCCTTTTTAATTTAAAGGTTGGAGATGTTTGCTTCCAAGTATTTCTTTGGATGAAATGAAAATTCACAACATAAAAAAATTGTAAATGAAAACATAGTTACTAGCTGACTTGCTAGTTCATGCCTGTAGTCCCAGAACTTTGGAAGCTGAGACAGACAAGAAGGTTGCCACAAGTTCAAGGACAACCTGGCTACGTAGTGAGTTTCAAGTCAACTTAGACTGTAATGGGAGACCCCGTCTCAAACAACAAGTTACAGTTACTGGTTTGGTCATAGTTTGCTTTTGCTTGTCAGGAGAAAGAGCAATAAGGTCTGCCGAATGCATGTTCCCCTACAGAATGCTATACTAGAATTCTCTCTATCACATGACTCTTGTACCACATAGGCTGTTTACAGATGAGAATGAATATAATTCACTCACTGTTGTTATAGTCAGTAAGAGATGTCTACATCTTTCTAGCTTTAAAAAGCCTATGCTCTTTCCAAATGTCCTCTACTGCCCATACAAGAGGACACACTGTGCATATTTCAACTATGCCTAGCCTCTAGGATGGGCTCTATGCTCAGCCTCTGATAACCTGGGCAGGGGAGGTAGTAATTGTGGAGTTAAATGGATCTGGTCATCATGGCTAGATTAGTAGAGTATAAAACAATTATTTTTCACCATATGTCTCATCTTACTTTAACCAAGACAAAAACTCTAAATTGTCTTTGGAACACATACTACAAATCTTTTGAAATCTAGGTCAGGACCAACACTTATTTTTGTATTTTACAACCCCCTGCAATATTTAACATTCTAAAACCTAACTGATTCCAATGGACAGTGGTTTGGGTTCCTTCTGGGAAAGGATAGGCGTATTTTGTCTAAGAAAATGTAAACTTGAGATGGACTGTGTGAGTAGAGTTGATTTCAATGGTAAACACCTTTGTCCTAATCAGATTTGTCAAACAGCAAATGTTACTTCATGGTTGTCTGTTTTTAAGTTTCTATGGTGAAAGAAACAGCAGAATGCAAGCGGAAAGATAAGGCTGGATGTCTGCTTCGCCTAAGGAGCAAGCGTAGTCGAAAGCTCAAAGCATGTCTTTCACTTCTCAACACTTTTGTACTTTCAAACCTTGCTGTTCCCCCCAGAACCGTGGTACCAATGTCCTGGATGATCACAAACGGATCCCTCGATACGTATCTTTGTAATTATTCTGTAAAAACAGAGAACTCTCCTGACAAGAATCTCAAGAATAGGGAAGCAAGACTCAGGAAAAGAGACCAAGAAATGTTCTTTTTAGAAGACAATAGGAAGTACGAGAATTGAAAAGAGGAGAAAAGATTTAAAGTTGTCAGTATGTCTAAAAACCAAGAAACCCCATTGAACTCCATATTGAAAGAGTTTGCAGTGTAATAATAAGATACAGCATAAGCCCACCTATGTATCGCCTTTGTTTTGTAAGAAATAAGGCTTAAAATTAAAATTTATTATGTCACACTTCACCTTTCATGATGAGATTTTCCCTTTCTAACTGTTTCTCCTTATTTTATTTTTTTTGTCTTATTCTGGAGAAGGGAGATGGATGGGATCAGGAGTCTTGATTTCAAAGACACAAAGAATAAATGAAAAAAGTTAAAAACTAATCACAAGGGTTAAAATCTTAAGATGTAATCACAGAGAATCCTTTCAGGACATAATAAAAGCAAACGTGTGAATATTTATCATGGTGATATTATGTTTATGATTTATTTCTAATTCTAAGATTTTCTGTCTACTTTAATGAGATTGTTTTTAAGATGCACATTTTAGTGCACTGTGCTTAGCTTGTGTGTTCCTTGTTATTCATGTTTTGTTGTGATTATTCATTCCAAAAGTAGAAACACATCTAACATTTCTTCTGTTCTGTCATTGAAATCTCACAAAAATATCACTAGGGAAGTAATATAAAATATCATCACATCAACGCTTAGATGACAAATGAAACTCATCTTTTTGAAGTTCTTTTAAATTTAAAACAGTTTTAAAATTTATTTTTCTTTTTGTTCATAAGTTAGCATACAATGTATTGAGTTTTATCATGATGTCTTCATATATATATATATATATATATATATCATATATATCATTATTCTTTGTTCTAAATGGGTTCCTTCCCTAGTACCTGACTCTTTCCTACCTGTTTCCTCCCTCCCTCCCCCTCTTCCTTCCTCCCATTAGTTCTTCCTTCTCTTTCTTTTAAAGCTAATCTATTACCTCATTTCCCACCTCCACTAGGATTTTTTTCTGCGCTTCACTTGATCTTTTTTCTGGTTTAATGACCTGCAAACACACACATCTAAATCCAAACAAGGATAAGCATTTGATGGAAAGTATGTAATTCCTTAGAAAGGGTGGACAGGAAGCTGAGGAAGAGATCACTTTCCTTATATTCACAAGGCTGTGGGTTGAAAACTTACAACCCACATCGGAAGAGGATTGATCGTCAAAATGTACAAAGAACTTGACATCAAAACAACAAATAATTTAATCAATAAAAAATGGGGTACAGACCTAATCAGAAACTCTCAACAGAGAAATCTCAAATGATTGAAATGAAAGACACTTAAGGAAATGCTCAACATGCTTAGTCGTCAGAGAAATGCAAATCAAAACAACTCTGAGATTCCATCTTATACCTGTCAGATGGCCAAGATCAAAAACACTGATGGCAACTTATACTGGAGAGGATATGGAAGTAAAGGATCACTCCTCCATTTCTTGTGGGAGTACAAACTGGTACAGCTGCTTTGGAAATCAGGATGACGATTTCTCAGAAAATTAGGAAACAATCTACCTCAAGAACCAGCAATACCACTTTTGTGTATATACCTTAAGGATGCTCAATCACACCACAAGGACATGTGCTCAACTATGTTCATAGCAGCATTGTTTGTCATAGCCAGAACCTGGAAAAAAACTAAATGCCCCTTAACTGAAGAATGAATAAAGAAAATGTGATAATTTATACAGTGGAGTACTACACAGTGGGAAAAATGATATCTTGAAATTTGTAGGCAAATGCATGGATCTAAAAAAAAAAACCATATTGAGTGAGGTAACTCAGACCCAGAAAAACAAATATAATATGTTCTTCCTCATAAATGGATTTAAGAAATAAAGCAAAGATAAAACAACCTACAGCCCACAATCCCAGAGAATCTAGATAGCAAAGAGGACCCTAAAAGAGACATACTTGGGTCTATGTAGGAAGGAGAAAAAGACAAGATCTCAAGAGTAAATTGGTAGTCACAGGAGAGGGTAGAAGGAAGCGGGGTAAAGGGAGGGGAGCAGAGAAAAATGTATAGCTCAATAAAAATGATAAAAAATTAAAAATATGTTATTTTTTTAGAAAACCATCGCAGGAATGGGTTACCTCTTTTGGAGTTATTAGCCAACGAAGTGCCATAGCTTCTCAAAACATTTCCAGGCTGCCGCTGCTCTCGAGACAGTGGGATCTGGGAGAACGGAGGAGGCAATAAATGAGGCAGACTAAAGTCTCATGCAGTAGCCAGCTTTATTCTGAGCAGCAGACAATTTATACTCAGAGGGTTAAGAGCAGACACATGAGTAAAGTGTGCAACCTGAGGGCAAGCCACATGTGGTGGACATGCAGCTGGAACATGGTTTCCCATCGGGGCAGATAAACAAATCAAACAGCCAGCGTATTGAATGCTCTGAAGGGAACTCACTCTGCTCGCTGTACCTGGGAGGGACAGCAAAGCACCGTCTAAGTACAAGTCCGTGACTGAAGAAAGTGAGGTCACAAGACTCAAGTCTTGTTTTCCCACAGACAGAATTCTGCTTGCAGGACTTTTCTTGGACCATGCTCTGACAAGGGACTGTTGCCAATACTAATGGTTACTCTCCAGAACGGAGAGTAAGCACCTATGGCAGAAGACCTCACATGCCCAAGATCTGGACAAGCTCAAGAGAGGACAAATCCCAGCCTGGAGAGGGAGGTGGGCTGATGGTCCCACCCTAGCCGAGGAGCTATGGACAGTTGGTAGCTGCTGGGCGAGGAAGAATCAGTTTTCCACGCAAGTATAGCTTCTGGTCGTTTTGCTGTGTTCCAGTGGGAGGCCACACATCCAAGTGTAAACAGACAGCACCAACTGGACTTGGCATGGTGTGTGTGTGTGTGTGTGTGTGTGTGTGTGTGTGTGTGAGAGAGAGAGAGAGAGAGAGAGAGAGAGAGAGAGAGAGAGAGAATAGCGAAGGTGAAAGAGATGGGGAGAATTGGGAGAGGGCTAAATAGGACCAAAACACATTGTAAAACATTTTCAAAGAACTAATTAAAAAATGGTAAACAAGAAAAAAAAAGGTTGAGCAACAAGGATGAGAAACCAGTCCTCCTGGCTTCCCTAGAAGAAGGAGATTAAAACGTTTCCACAAGGTAAGTCAAGCGACAGCGTTTCATGGTAGTCAGCACTGACCACGGAACAAGTCCCCAGTTCTCCGGCCTGAGACGTAGTTGGGGAATCTGGAGATGGTTCATCGAGAGGTGATTCAACAGGTACACGTATTTGCTACCCGAGCCTGGTGACCT